AGTGGTGTTCTCCCAGCTTCCATTCAGGGTAACTAAGGCCAGCCCCATGAGGAGCTCCTGTGTCCTGGAAGGCTGCCTGAAAGCTTACATCCCAGGTTGCCTTCTGCACAGCTGATCAAAAGTTCTGGAAGCTAAAGTTGCTCTGGAGACAGTTTTCATTGCCCTTAGATGTGCAGGTTGGATGGTGGACATCCCAGGTCTCTGGTTCCTTGACTAGAATAATTTTAGTGGGGGTCAATTGCTTTTCAAACCACTTCCCCAGGGGCTTAAGCCTCTCTACTGCCTCTTGCATAACTGACTTCCCTCTTCTGGCCTTCCCTCCCCTGAGGCTCCACACTTGCCTTTAGATCCTCCTTTAGAGTATGCCAGGGGAAGCCCCGGTGGGGCTTTACAAAGCTCCTTTACAAAGGCACCCAGGAGGCCAGCAGGGACAAAAGATGTGTGAATTGGTGTCAGCAGGGCTCTTAGGGCCCTGGCACAGGTGTCCTCTGGGAATCCTGAGGTCCTAGCCCTCTTTTCTACCTTGGTGGGTCTTGGGAACTGGCTAGCTGGTGGAAAGGCCACAGCCTGGATGTAGGCCCCATAAATCAACACCTGCAACTATGAAAAGAACTAAAAAAAAAAAACCCCATCATTCTCTGCTGATGTACCTTCATCAGGAGTCGTTCCCCAGAATAATACCCTGGAGTTTAGTGCTGAACAGCTGGGAGCAGTCTCCTGTCTGTACCTGCAAATAAATACAGGTGACCTTCCTCTGTGATGGATGGGTACTGATGGCAGTTGGGTACACAGGGATGTGGCACTGATGCCTGGCTCACTGGGAGATGAATTCTCCTTCATACCAACACTGTGTCTCTTTGCTTTAACTTTGCTGAAGGGAGCAATGTCAGCATATCAAGAATAATCTCAGTGTTAAGAGCACACCAGCATCTTCTGAGCATTTGTCACAGTCTAAGCACTGCATACAACCTGCCGTCTCATTTAATCCCCTCGTGCATGCTCTCAACTAGCGACTGTTCCATCCTGCTCCGTCTCACAGACAAGGCAGTTGAGGCTTCTAGAAGGTTCAGTGACTTGCCTGAAGTCTCACCTTGTTTAAGAAACTGAGCAGGAGGCACTGAACCCCATACTATAGAGCCATATAGTATATATAGTGCTATATCTGGAAACAGCTTAATAATATGTGGAGTTAGATGCAAAATGACAGTGGTACCCTTTGTTCATCAATGATTAAAATCTTAGGATGTTGGTGACAGGACAGTAAACAAGAAAGACCTCTTTGAACACTAGGCTCTGTGAAGCTTTGTAGGCCACACCCCATGCCACTGGCCTTAGGTAGATGGGCTTAGAAGAAAGTGATGGGATTACTAATAAGGGTCTCGAGGTCTCACCCTATTTCCCCCCCCCCCCGGAGCCTTCCCCAGAAGGCTCACAATAAATCAAAAGGATTCAGGGAGCCCAGTTATTGGCCAGGGGGACTGTTCGTTTTCCATCGGGAGACGTATCAGTTCATCAGACAGAACTGCACACACACACACACACACACACACACACACACACACACACACACCACCACCATCTGGACCTGCTTAGAGTCTAGCTTTACCCTCAGAGCAGAACAGACCCATAAGCTGGGTGTCTCCTGGATCCCAGGCTCCTATGAGGTGCCAAAATGAACGAAGACTGCGCACACACGCAGATGAGGCTCTGAGCAGGAAGCCAGTGCAGATTCTGCTGTTTGTAGACCCCAGGACTGAGCAGGGGTGACTGTCTGTGATGCCTGGTTTTTATTTGCCAACTTGTCACAGCCTAGTGTCACTTGAGAAGAGAGCCTCAGTTTGAGGAAATATCTAGGTCAGGTTGGCCTCCAGACACGTCTGTGGGAGGTTGTCTTGATTGCTATTGAGTTAAGAAGATGAACACTATTTCATGGGTTGGGTCCTAAACTGTGTAAGGGAGAAGAAAGCTAGATAGCTGAGCACAGAAAAGGACACTATGAGACACTGTGGAGACACAAGGAGATACTACGAGAGCATTCATTCCTTCATTTCCTTCTGCTTTTGACTGTGGGTGTGGCCAATGGTCACAGGCTCCTGCACCCAAGACTTCTCTGCTACACTAGACTATAACCTGGACTTGAAGATGGATCAAGCCCCTAGGTTGCTTTTGGTCAGGATGTTTTGTCACAACAGTTGTGAAACAAGAAAAGCATCCTATCATCAAAACAAGGCATCATCATCCCAATTTCCCTATTGTTCTCCTGGTCTTTGGAAAGAAGGTAGCCAACTCCAGAATGGTACATGAGAAGGCACTTGCAGCTCATCACTCAAGACATGGACACTCTTCTGAATCTTGGTTTTCTCATCATTTCTGAGATGAGGATTGCTTGACCCACCTCTCAGAGTAGGAAATAGTTAGTGGGGGAGAGTGTATTGTACCTAAATCTCCCAGCACACAATGAGGACTCAGTCCAATGATGGGAGAGTCCAGTGGCTGTTTATATAGTCATGTTTATGGGACAACTGAAAATACATGAACAGGGACTAGGGCAATGGCTCCATTAGTAAAGCGCTTGACACATAGTGTGAAGACCTGACTTCTATCCCCAGCACGCATGTGAAAATCTGGGTATGGTAATGTCTATCTGTAATCCCAGTATTGAGTAAGTATTGACAGAGGGATCCCAGGACTTGGTAACCAACTAGCATAGCAGAAACTGCCATCTCCAGGCTCAGTGAGAGACTCTGCCTCAAAAAAATTAGGTGGAAAGTGAGAAAGACCCAGCAAAGGATCAGGGAATGGTAAACACAGGAGAGGCAATCACTTGTGTAAGCAGTCAGGAAACACAGAATGCATGGTATAATTTGAAAAGGGCCTCAGTTGGGGAAGAGGGTTAGAGGAGGGTGGAAGACCATCCACCATTTCAAAGCCCTGAGACTGACCTCCCTGTAAATTTTTACAGGGTGCAAATGGAGTCTAGGCAGTTGTGCACTAAAAATGTCTCCCCTACTGCCTTGTATCTACCTTCTTGACACCAAATCTGACCAGTTCCTTCCATGACTGCTCTAGAGTTAAACCTAGAGGCAGCTGAAAAAAAAAAAGAAGACAATGACCAGGACCATTCTGCATCCATTCCACACAGCTGTCCAAATCTTACGTATTTTATGGGATAATATCAGTCACAAAGAGAAGTGTGAGCTGGCTTTTATGTTTCCTGGAGATGTGTCTGCCCCTAACCGAATAGTTTTGTGCATTAAGAAATTCAACGTGCATAAAGGATTCAATTTTTCCTTGAAAATATGACAAGTATATAAAGCAATAGCACCTGAAATGCTCCTAAACTTTGCAGAAGGACATGGCTGTGGGAGGAAAATTGGCCCTCATCTCATCATATACACAGAGACTGGGGCATGCTTACAGCCCCCCACCCCCACCCCAAGGCACCATGGACTTCAATGCTGGGATCACGTTTTGTTCAGCTCATCCACATTCCAGCTGCTCACACTCAGGGGCTGGGGACCACACACAGGAAGAAGGAATCATTCTTTGCTCTGCTCACACTCTACACTCTTTAATAGCTTTTTCCATCCATCTTGCTGACCTGTTCTGTCCCTCAGCTCCTTTAAGTAGATTTCTGTAAACATCACAATCAAAGTTCAGGGTCTCTCTCATCAGAAGTCCCCTCTCCATCAAAAGGAAACCCTGGAGAGGTGCCATGAGGCTGATCTGCCCTGAAGTGGTCTGACTTACCTTCACCTGCACAGGCTACACCTCCCCAGGCCTGTTACCCTTCCTCTCCCTCTATCTCTCCCCATAACATCCTTGGGGAACAGACAGCAAATGTGCCATCATTTATATAAGAGCACATTCAAATCTGGGAGGGAGATGTCTGCTCCTGCCCTTTTGGGGGAAGTGATGGAGAGCACAGAGACCAAGCTTGTGAAGCTAAAGGGAGGTTTGAGGCATCTTGCATATGATTATTCACCTGGTAGTCTGGGGAGGTTACCATAGCAACATTTCCAAAGTCTCCAGTATCTACATGTCATTGATACATCCCATCAATTCAACAAAGGGAGAGAAGCAGCCCAAGCTGGCCCCTGTCTCCTCTATGGCTTGCTGAATGACTGTGTTGCTCATTGTTTAGTCAAAGCCTCAGAACCAGTAACAGGGACACCCTTAATATGGGGCTTTTTCACCCAAATGGATCTTAAAGCTTAAAATCAAAGTTGCCTCTAACAGGAATTGCTTTCTATTTTGTTCTTGACTTTCACAGCCTTATGCTCACGAGTGACTTTTTCTGCTGGACACTGGATACTTTAATTAGAATGTTCTAGGCCCCTAAAAAAGGGGGGCTCTAAATTTTAAGTCTTATATTTTTGGTTGTGAGCCTAGCCTTTAATGGCTGAGCCATCTCTCCAGCCCTAAATTTTAAGTCTTAACTAGAGAAGCTAAACATGGTGAAAGACAGCAAGGTCCCGAGGTATCCTAGAGTCATTTTCATAACAGTAGCTGCATGTATTTCCAAAGAGAGAGAGGAATGTCCTGCCTTCAGCCCTTTGACTGAAGACAAAAGGTGTCTCTCCAAGAATCTTCTAAGGAAAAGGAAAAAGGTCCAGGCTGTCACCCCAACATTGTTCTTCTTGAAAGGCAATTATGAAAAGAATTCACAGAGCAATTTATGTGGAGGACAGTCATTCTCATCAAAACTCCACGGGGCGCACAGTTATGCCTTCAGCCCTTGCATTGTGAGTGAAATATTCACACAGTGCCCAGAACTAAGCAGGCATCAGAGTCCTGGATGGAGCATCACCCCTGCAGACAAGGGAATACATTTTCATAGTTTGCAGTCCCCCAATTGTGCTCTAAGTCTCATGCTCCCAGCCCTTGCTAGAATCCAGAGAAACGTTAATGTTATTTCACATCAACCAGTCAGAATCCACAAAGATGACCACGCGCCACTTTCAGGGCCGCCATGCTGGTGGGCAGCTAGTGTGACTTACCTGTGGGTGACCCTTCCATGACGTGGCCAATGTAAGGGCCTTCCCGAAAGATGGGTCTATTGTCGTTCTGATCAATCACGATGACTTCCAAGGGCACCGGCCCCTCCAGAGTTTTGCCACTGACGTCCGTGGTCTCCACAAACAGCTGTATGAGCAAAGAGATTGAGAGAGAGAGAAAGAAACCATTATTTTAAAAATCAAAACAAGGTTCCCCAGGGAGAGTATGTTTTATCAATCATTTTATGAGCCTTTGGTGATATTCAAACTCTAGTTTTCATGGGTTGTCACCAGGATGAGAATAGAAACTAAATAGTTTACAATAAAAGGCAAAGAACATCATGTGTTGCATCTCCCCTTGGAAAATTCACAATTAAATCATCAAATCTGCAAAGAAATTTAAACACACACACACACACACATACACACACACACACACACACACACTACTGCAATTCACCATGGTTGGGAGAATGTGCTTACACCTTTTGTTTTTCCAAGATTATTATCCTTAAAAGGAACATTACGCTAATAGAAACAATAGATGAAGCATTGTGAACTGAGGGAACCCACAGCGTTTGCAGTCATGCTGAGGAGACACTCAGATCAATATGCGTCTAGAGGCATCCCTCAGGTAAGAGGGCTGGTGTGTGCAGGGCCCTGCTGGGACCTCAGGATTCCTGCCCACCCTTAAACAGCCAGGGACTTCACAGATCCAGGAAGAGCTTCTAAGGGAAAGTCCTTCCAGATCTCAGCCAAGAAGGCAGCATGGAATTCAGCAGTGTGGCTGGTCTGGAAGCAGAGCATACCATGGCATTCCCAGGGCATTGCTATTGCCACAAGTTCCATTAGCTGTGCTTATCTGGGCCTTGGTTTATTTCAGCAATAGCAGTAGTTTTTTTTTTTTTTTTTTTTTTTTTTTTTTTTTTTTAAATACAACTGTTCATCCCTTCAAAGGGGATGACCATGCACTCTGGTCAGTGGAGACCACAGCACAGAGTCCCTTTACCAAGGTTTTCAATTCCTTGGTTTCCTAATTTGAGTCCTCTCTCCACTCAGTGAAGCTGACAAGATAAACATTATGATCATACCTATGTGGTGTGCAAATGTGGACATCAGATGAAACCCAGTCTACATGGGTAAAGGGATTGGGTTTTTTTTTTTTCTGTTTTTCTTCAGCAGTATCAAATCCTCTGTGTCAACACACACACACACACACACACACACACACACACACACACACACAGGCAAAAACATGCACCCACACTTGCACACATGCTCCCACACACATTTGATTTCTTGGGCAGAAAACACCTTAATTAAGAAAAATTCAAAAGGACAAACAAAGCCTCCTAGCATTGCAGTCAAATGAGATACAATAGAGAAGAAACACTGTTTTAAAGTCGGGGCTGGGAGACATGGCTCAGTTAGCAACAGAGGCACCTGAATCCAGATCCCCAGAACCACATCAGTCAGGGAACAGCACCATGTGCCCATAATCCCAGCAAGGAGGAGGCAAAGACAGGAAGATCCCTGGGTTTGCTGGCCTGTCAGTGTAGCCAAAACACCAGCTTCACTGAGACTCTGTGTCTTAGTTTCCTGTTGCTGTGATGAAACAGCCACCCCAAAATGACCAACTTAGGGGAGAAAGAGTTAATTTTAGCTTTCAGTCTAGGTTTCTATCCATTATACCTGGGAAGCCACAGGTATAGGCACTTGAGGGAGCTGACCACAGCATGCACACACTCAGGAACAGGGAGCTATGAATCGATGCGTGCATGCTAGTGTTTAAGTCACCTTCTTTCTTTTTTACAGTCCAGGATCCCCTTTTCTAGGGAATGGTGCCACCCATGGTGTGTATGTGGGTTCTTCCCACATTAATTACTATAATCAACACAATTATCCATAGATATGTCCACAAGCCAACCTGATTTAGATAATTCCTCATCAAGCCTCTCTTCCCAGGTAATTCTAAGTTGTGTCAAGTTGACAATTAAGACCAATTATCACACCCTGTCTCAGAAAATTGATAGAGTGATTGAAGAAGACACCCAGAATTGACCTTCGGCCACCACATGTACCTGTACATATGTGTGGGACACACTCATGAGCACACTCCCACACAAAATCTGACATCCTTGTGAGTTTCACTTGCTGTTCTCATGTTAGGGCCAGATCACAGCAAGCAAATACAGCCTTTCTGAAGGACGCTGCTGTCACACTCCAGAGGGGCTGTCAGTGTCAGGAAATCAATGCTGAGGGATGCTATTGCCTTCCTTCTCCCCTCCAGAGTGAGATGCCTCACACACACAAACCCTCCCTTTGAAAATCTGAAACCATGTGTTTCCTGTGAATCACAGGATGGATTCTAGTGGTTGTGTTCAAGGCTCAGAAACAAAGCAAGATAGGTACACTCAGAGGGAAGGAAGAGCCCCCGCCCCCACCCATCATGTTTGAAGTGGAGAGCTGCATGGCAGAGCCCACGGGGAGAAGAATGGACAGATGGCCAACGGTGGGAAGCCACAAATTGGCTGCTCACGGGAAATGATACCAGCAGCAGCATTTCATGGCCTGTTTCTAGTCCAGCTCCTCAGATTTGAGCAGTGCTCTCAGTGGTTAACTTGCCCCAGGATGGTAAAGTGGACACACACCCCAGCTTCCTAAACCGTGGAGAGACCCCACACTGGTTTAACTCCTGAGACTCATGAAAATGTAGTCTTATAACTCCTAAAACCCAGGGTCTCATAACTCCTGAAAACCTGAACATCACTAAAAGATTTCTGAATAAGCAATGGCCGAAAATTAACTAAATATCGAAGGGGTAATGAAGACAAGATCTTCTACCAATGTGTGCCCATGTCACATCCCTGCAACTGCACTGAAGCCTTCATACTTTGAGGAACTTGCTGAAAATTGATTTCCCATGTGCCCCCACTTTCCACCCAGAATACTCTTGAGCAGGGAGAAGTGAGAAATATTTAGATAGAAATATGGATGGAGAGAGACAGATAGAAACACAGGATAGTCTCTGGAGGGCCTGGGTTAAAATCCGCTGGCCTCTTCTGTCTCTTCTACCTCCCCCTAGCACAGCCAAGTACAGACCCTTCCAAACACCTGATAACCACACATGTGATCAATCCATCCCCTTATGCAGCCCTGCTGTGTAAAGCAAGCTCAAATCTCACTAGGAAACCTCTGTGAACCCCAATACCCATGGCACCCAGCTCCATGGCATGTGGGTACCACATGCTCCCTGGAAAGTGGAGCCTGTACATCACTGGCTTTGATGGCTATGGTAGAACTGAGGCACAACCCTACAGAGAAGAGAAGAGAGCCCTGCACATGGGAGCAGGTGACCTGCTACTCAACGTTCAGGTGAGTGGGACCCAGACTCTGAGCAGGGCCTGTCCCTTCTAGACCTCAGCATCTGTGATTGGCAAGGGCTTCCTATAACATCACAGAGTGCTCTGAAGACTCCAGTGTGACACATGGAGGTCTCTGATAGGAGGATGGCTCTGGATTTTCACCCAAAGCTTGATTATTATTATTATTATTTTTGACAAAGTTTTACTCTGCACTACAGGCTGGCCTGGAACTCACTATATAGCTCAGGCTGGCCTAGAACTCACTATGTAGCTCAGACTGGCCTGGAACTCACTATGTAGCTCAGGCTAGCCTGGAACTCATTGTGTAGCTCAGACTGGCCTCAAGCTCAAGCATCCTCCTGAGAGGGATTACAGGCATGAGTGATTGGTGATCACCCAAATCTTACTTCTATTTTAAAGGGTGTATTTCTTCTAGGCTATTTTAGAAACGGTATGAGTGTTTTGTGTGTAAAGCCATTTAATCCAGTCTTAGCAGGCAGGATCCTGAGACCCTCATAACAGAGGTTCATCATCTTGAGCCATGTGTGGTTGTGGCCAAGAGGTGGCCTCAGCCAGGGTCCAAGGCAGATATTCAAGAGCCACCCTCCAGCGAAACTTCTGTCCTCAGCACCCCATCAGGTTTTTGGCCACACTGCTTCTGAATTCGTCCCTATCTCCATCCCTGTCACCACTTCCTGAGGCTGGCTCTGCCACTCTCACCAGGGCCTCTGGAAAGGGCACTGTGGGGTTAGCCATTGTGACTGCACTGTCTGCTCTGACCTCTTCCCAGTTTCCTGCCCATTCCCATCCTTCCCAGCACTGACCCCAGGACTATCCTTCAATTCTTACAGACCAGCCAGGGTGCTTCTGCTTTGGCCTCTCACAGTTAACACTTACACAGCACAGAATCTCCCTGCATGTATGCCTCTCCATGTTGGTCTCGACAGGTTCCCAAGCACAGGGGCACATCGGATGTGCTTGGTTAGTGAGAGCCCAGACCTGAGGCCTCACATGGAACTGTTTGCATAAAGCCCTCTTCTCAAGAGGTGGATTCTCTTTAAGAGACAGGAGTCTGAAGTGCTGGCCTGAGCTTTGGCCATCTGTCCTTTTCCCCCAACTCTGGCACAGGAGGCTGACAGTCAGTCTGAGTCCACAGGCCCGGGGCCAGTTGAGTCTATGCAGTCTTAATTGACGAACACAAGCCCCGGCGGTAAACAATCTCAAAGCTTATTAAACTGACAGCTTACTTTTGAAAAGAAGGGAATTAACATTTATTTGGTGTTCAGCCTATGTCCAGGCTTTTTATACATCTGCTTCAAAGCAACTTGGAGAAATACTGATTGAGGCAAAGAAGTTGCAGTCACCGTCCACAGCCACAAAGCTGGTTTGTGACTGATTAGGCAGCATCCAAACCTAGGGCTGACTCCAAAAGCTGTGATTCCCTCTCTCTGCTCATGTCCATTCGTGGTGCTGTCACAGCCTGCCTGGAATAGCTCTACTAATTGTCATTTGCTTCATGGGATTTTTTTTTTTTTTATGACATTGACTGCTATTTTATAACCTTGTAGCATGTGAGGCAAAGTTTTCCATGGATTTGGGAGCAGAGTAAGTGTGGATAGTCTCACTACCAGCCACAAGAGTACCTACCAACATGCACAATGATCCTCTCTGTATTACATAGGCCACAAGACAGCCCACAGAACACAGGCTGGGTATGTTACCACCATAGCAGCCCAGCTCCGTCCCCTGACTCCCAGTGTGTACAAGAACAGATAAATTTTAG